ACCGACTCATTTCAAGAAGAGCCGCCTTCCTTCTCTTGTTCCTCGGGGATGGTGTCCAGGTATCCACAACTATTTCAGGAATGCCGTTCATGCTCCTGTTCTTACCGCCGCCGCCGCCGCCTCGGGAGGTGCAGCGTGTGCGGGAGCTTCCGACCGTAGCCGCATATCACGGACCGCGAGGAACGAATATGAACACCAAAATATGACTTGAATCAGCTCGACGAAAATTCCATTGAACTCGCATCGGAGGCATTCTTGCCCAGGGGCAAGGCGCGCATCTTCCATGTCTGTAGTACGGACGCCGGCACCGTTCCTTTTCTGGAAGCCAGCTCTTTCCGTCAAGCGTTTTTGCGTCTCAATGTCACCGACCGATTGAAGTTGGGTTCGGAGGGAAGACGAGCGCCGTGGCCGCCGCAACTTTGCCGGAACCAGTTCGGCTGACTGCTTGTCACGCGAGCCGGTGCCTTGAGAGAAGGATTCGAGTGGAGGGGAAGCGGCGCAATAAGTGAACGAAACTCCGTGAACGAAACCTCCAGGACGTAGTGTTTAATTTGCAGGTGAGTTCGCTAACTAATACTAATGGCCCCACACTCAAGGCCAGGAGGCTGCTCGCTCTGAGTAGGTACGTTGCGTCTCGTAACTCCGTTAGCTTCCGTCGTTATTTCCTCGGACTAGTACTTGGTTACAACTCGAAGTAGCAGCCGCACTTATCCGGAGCAGCTCGTCTATTCGCGGGACATTAACGACGATGACTTGTTTCGCCGCAATGCATCAAATTATGCTGCGGCCGCCTTGCGCGCGCTCCGCAATGCCATTTGCGACTCGTAGAGGGCGGATTGCGCTCTTATGGGTCCCGGATCGTTGAGGAGACGGGCAAGTTTCCGCTCGGGTTCGAACCGATGTGCATCCACTCCCGGAAATCCGGCTCGCGTCATCGGGATCAGAAGCCATTCAAAATGTTTCGAGACAGAACTTGATCCGAGGCACGGCGTAAACGCTTCTCCCTTCCAGAGGAATCACCTCAGTCGATTCCCTGATTTTTTCTCCCGAGACTTATGTGAGCAGGGCATGAATGCGGTGGTAGACTCGTCGTCGTCGTCGGCGTTCGCTCTCTCCGAAAGACGAACCTGCTCGAGTTTGCTCGTCCATACTGGGCCTCAGATTCCAGTTTTCAGGCTGCGTTTGCCCATCCGAGAGCGTTCATTCAGGCGTTCTGCCCAGACGGTGAAGACGTTTATTTTTTTCCTGTTCGCTTTAAAGAATGAGATGAAGGCTCCCTACACCGAAGAATTCTTGAAACGCTCAAGCGCACACGACTTGATTGCCTGTCGATACTGGCTGCAGACTCGGTCCCGAGCGCGCAGATGTTGTTCTTTACGTTGAATATACTCCTGACCGAGATCGAATAATACAGTGAGCCTGCACAGAGCGCGAGTAGATTCGGGGGACGAAGGCTGATGAGGGTTTTTCTCCGTGCTCCGGGGCTATAAACACAAATCGTGCCGGACAAAAGTTGTGATTTGCGTGGGCAACATGACGTGAGCGCTCGAGAGGATGTTGCGCTTACGAGAATTTATGAAGGCGCGATCGAAGCAATCATTCTGCGCTTATTACTCATAATGAACTCGGGCCCGAACCCGATACCCCCGCCGGTGCCTGGGGTTGCCTGCTATGCGCCTGTCCGGAAATTCGCGGAGAGACGCGATTTCCAAAATTCCAGGGTCCCGAATCCGCGGGATACTGTCGGCAGTTTCAGACCACCGAAGAATATTGCCTCGCGCCCTGACCTTTCGGGAACTCCACATATAACATGCACCTATAGCAATCGGAGTCCTGACCCTTGTTGACTGCAAGGTCGCGAGAAACGACCGGCGTATTCGCTCAGCCACTGACGCCTTAAAACCTATCCCTCGAGAGGCCGTGAAAACGCTTATTGGCACGCGGCGATCCGTCGAGTGGCTTTTCCTATCTTGCCCTCGTGTTCTCGAAGGTTCCCTGCCGTCGAGATACGCTAACGGATGACGCGTCCGTCTCCGCAGGTCGTTGGCGAGGTCGGTCTGAACGTAAGTCTAAAACGGGCAGGCTGGCTGGCCGACCGACCGTCTCCCTGCTCGCTTGCTCTGTGTCTCGTATTCATTGCAGTATTCGCCCACGGACCATTCTCAGCGCCGACGATCGTTGTCGGCTTGCTAGACTGTGAGTTGCAGGCTGCAGGAACAAGCTGTAAGAGCAAGCTCGCCGTCGACCGGTGCGGCAAACAGCCGAAAGCCGGAATCCGAGCAGAAAGCGCGAACTGTGGATACACGGATCGGCGGACCTTCGGCAGACGAATGTTGATAGTCGGTGTGAGCAGTTTTATTAGGCGTGAATCGGGACCTGCTCTGCTGTTCATTATAAGACGCACTGTACGCCCGGAGAGCAGAGCCGGTCGGAAACTAGCTCGCTACGCGTTCGGCCCGTATTTGTTCTGTACAGAGATGGATAGAATGTCGTCGTACCGGCAAATGAAGGAACTAACAAGCCCCGGCTAGTCGTCGGACAACCGAAGAGACAAACGAAGAAGGGGAGACGAAGATGAGAGGAGACAACGCGGCCGGAGAAACGGCCTGCGTGGAGCAGGAAATCGCCCAGCACCCACGTGGGCTTCGGAGCTACCTTCACGAAATCGCTCATCATGGGAGCCCATTCACTGAAACATGAGCTCCTGTGTCGCCTAATACGTAACCTCAGCGGACAAAAGCGGAGAGACGTATGCCGACCTACGCCGACGAGCCATGAAAGTTCGCAGAATCGATGAACCTCAGATACCCCACAAAGGAACTTGCGGAGGCCCGTTATGAAACAGGACACAACGTACTTGCCGATTTGAACTGATCGAGACCTCTCGCTCGTACCGATTCTGAAAGATGTTTTCCTCTTGACTTCTGTGAGATGATGAAGCAGCAGCTTATCCTGATAGGACGATATCCCGGCGGGAGTCCGGAGAATATCGGAATTTTTCCTCTCGCCTAATCCAGGTGTTCGTTCCTCTCCGGCTACGCCAAACCCATTGTTGCCGCCCGGCGCCGTTCTCATCACGGATCCCCCTCCTCAGTCACCTCGAATCGGCCGTGCTTTATCTTTTTCCTCCCCTGCTGACTCCGTCTGGGGTCTCGCCCGTAATTCCTCCGAGTCACGAGTGCAAATTCATCTGTCGTCCGAGACGCGGTTTTCCCTCTGCAACGGCTTCGGCTTTGTCTCTCCCGTTCCGTGTCACTCCAAGGTGGAATGACGAGGGTGTAGCCCCAGTGGGCTTTCCTTGTACCCTGGTGATATTCGTGCCGGTTTGCTTCTGTTAGCGGGGTGCATTTAAGATGTAATTTGAGTCGACTCGGGTTCCGCATAATCCCGCGATCCGTTCCAGTCATTTGTGTACCTCATCTCTGTCTGGCCGACAATGCGCTCACTTCTTATCCATACCCCGAGAAACTCAAATATTCGGGTTGCCGCCAGCTGATAGTTATCATCTTTCCATGACATCGTCCGATGATTTCTCCCAGGAAGGGGAGAGCGTGAGGAATTTATAATTTTTCCCCGTTGCTGAGCACGGGGAGTTTATTCAGATGGTTCCTCGAACTCAGAAATACATACACTGTCAAGAAGTTACGTGCGGACGCGGAGAAAACTTGGGTCCAGCTGCGAATTCCAGCTGCACTCTCGAGGTCGGTACGATCGTCGTCTGATCAGCGGCGGCGTCGGAGCGAAGCACATTCCGCATACTGGGCGCTCGATGCGCCGGTCTTCCGATCATACTCACGGCCGCTAATTTTGTCGCTCGACGAGCTTGAATCCCTGATATTCACGCCGATCAAGAGATGGGAAAGTCAACCCTCTCTCCTGGAACCTTTCGCTGGATGATCGGTGCCTGGTCTCCAGAGACAGCGCGTGAGATTGGCACCGATCTGCCAGATCAATCCGTAGTTGCTATTCAGTCGACTGAGTGACGAGCGGACAGACCGATGTTGGATTCCATTTGTCGCTCCCTCTCCATCAGACTAACCTACTTCTCCTCTCGAGCTGTAAGCGACCTTCCTCAGTCGCCTTCGAACATGTCTCCATTTTCGCTCAGACTCGCACTTTCCCGAGGCCTCTACCCTCAGAGAAAAATCCTCCGCTGAGTTACTATTCTATTGGCTCGAGAGCTCGTCTCTCTCCCTCTCCGATTCATTGTCGAGCGCTTGCGCTTCAGCATTCGATCTCTGCGGTCGCTAGTCCAATTGTTTAGCGAGATTCCGGCAAACACGTGCTGCGATCCTCAGCCAGAATTTTTCCCCCGTAATGGTCGTCTCGGTTGTTCGATTCTCTCCACGCAGGAAGTGAACTCCGAATGGTCTCTCCCGACCGCTTCTCCTGTCCACACTCTCACGTCATCGACTCCGTGCGGTCGTAGCTGGTTTCGGGTATCCGAGATCGCTCATTGACCCGTTTTCCTTCTCCATGGCGTTCTCTCCACAATTCGGTTTGGATTCTTTCTCGAGGATTTGCTCCTCGCTCGCTCACGCCTCTAAATGTTGACTTATCGCCTCTGCTCTAATCGGCTCTTATCGGCGCCACCGCCGTTCGCGACCGATAGCGCATTTGTTGGAGGAAGCAGCTTTCCGGCATCGGTGGTGAGGAACATCCGTAGTATTCCCCTCTCATACTTCATTCGCTATCGATGTAATCCACCCGTGCTCGATGGAGCGAGTTCCGTTCTGGAGATCCGACGGAGATTTTCCCTTTATTCAAGATCAATTGAACTGCTGAATAGCTGCTGCTGCTGCCGTCGACGTCGTCATCGTCCCAACCGCTACTGGAGAACGCTGCGGCTCTCTGTGGGATCGCTTTGGTCGATTGCTGCCGGCGTAGTGACTCTCTCTCGGTCGTAGTGGATTCGCCGGCCGTAGTGCTTTCGAAGGCGACTGATCCTCTTGCGGGAACGGCAACACAGCCGTTAAGAAGTCAACAGAGACCACACCACTGAACGACCGTTGCACGACCGACCGACGGAGGAAGCGAGCGGCTTCCCGAAAGAGCGACCTACCGAAAGCGTCGGCGGCGATTCGACTGTAAGGGAGGGAGAATAGCCTTGAACAAATATGCGGCCTATCTTCCAAAGCATCCTGGTGAGTAGTACTCGTATACTATGTAGATTGCCACCAACCGACGACTAGTCTGGTCGTTCGTTGGTCAGACCGATATGTCGGTGGTCAGTCAACAACAAACGGAGCAAGAAAGCCGCACAATGCGTCTTCGCCAGACGATTGCACACTCGATTCTTGGGCTTCTGGTATTTATGTTCATTATGGCTCCGCCATCGATCGCGTTCCCTCAAAAAGGTTCACAATAGCGGATCGGAGAGCGGGAGCGAAGCACGCTCGCTGCTGGGAGAAAATGTCGAAAACAGGGAGTCGCGACTGAGAAAGCTTTCGGAAGACTCTCTCGAGCATTGTGCTCTCGAGTCTAGAGGGACCGGTCTCAGATCGGGTCGTCTGAGGGTCAATAATGCTTTTGCACGCGGTACCTATGTACATCACGCATAGTAGGTACTGCGGTAGATACATTCCGTGTTCTCGTGATTCGAGAGGCTTTCCCGCTCCCAGTGACGTCATCGATGTCTAGTTGTCGTTTATGACCTCGTTTTATTTCTGATGGAAAGGTCGATAGTGGAAGGAAAAACATCATCGTGATCGTCTCCATCGTCGAAGTTTTACAGAGAAAAAAACGTCGACCCGAACTCACATCAGAAAAACGCCCGTGTTCTCACTCGATTATCGCTAGGCTGATACGCGATGGATTCTGACGGATGCCTTCCCTGTTGCAGGTACGCGCTGCCAAACGCGCGACTTCGGTCGACCAGCAGCTGAGGAAGTGCTCGACGGGAGCGCTCGTTGACTCGCACGGTAGGGTACACGATTACCTGCGGATATCCCTCACTGAAAAATGCAGTTTCCGATGTGAGTTCTATAGCGAGCAAGACCTCGCGGAGCATCTATCTAGGTACCTAGTTGTGAGTTGTGAGCCATTGCTCATTCGCTCCTACGGAACTCGTATATCTACGGCGGACTCGCCGTAGATTACTCGGCCCCTCGGTACAGATTTGAATTACCGCCATAAAGTTCGCCTGGGCGAGGCGTTTGCACGCTAGCACGCAGTTTTTCTCCTCGTTCATTCGTCCTTCTCGCTCGTGCCGTATTCTTAGAGAACGGACGGACGGCTTGGCGCAACGGTGGTAACGGGTCGATTTTCTGGCTTTTTGCTGAGTTAGAAATTTTCCCGGCTGAGTAAACTTGCCCCACTGATGTGTGGCTCCAATACGACGACGACTCGGTAGAGAGAACGAAGGGAACAACACGACTTCAGTCCCCCCTCGCCCTGTCCCCCCCTTCGACGTCAGCATCGACGGCGGAGGTGGCTCTCTCATTGCTCCGGTCCGCGAGGGACCGCAAGACGTAACGCTACGCCATTACCTTCCCAGCCTTCCAAGGATATTGGTTAGAGAAAATATCGATGGCTGTCGCGAGCACGCGTCGAACATCGTGAACATGTTTGAACTCATTGACTCGTGACGGCTCCTCACGAAGTCACTCTGCGTCGCGCTGGTTTTTCGCGTCGGTTCCGTGAAAATCACCGCGCCGAGATGAACCTCTGGAGCGGCATTCGGTACAGAACTGCAGCATCGTTTATCGCTCCGTCGCTCCGGCTTCCCCGCCCCGTAACAGAGGAGTCGCAGTCGACGTCGTCGCCGCCGAGCTCCCCCCGTGGGTTGACCGGCCGGCGGGTCTCCCTGCCGGCGGGTCGATAGTCGGTCGCGACGAGGCGACAAACCGCTTCCTGGCTGAGGCAGTATATTCCCATTGTCGACGTCGGTGCTTCCTTACCCAAGGACGCCGTGTTCTTTCGCCGTGACCCCCGACCCGCTTTTTTGGCGCGAACCCCAATCCACGGCAGACACCGCAACGACGGCAAGCACCACATCGGAGCCAAAGGCGTGCAACAGTTCCGCAGAAAACGGAAAAATATCGTGGTCAAGGAAGAATTACGGTAGAGGAGAAATCTCACGAAAGAAAGTCTCGAGAAGAACAGTGGGAACCCGATGGAAATGACAGGGAATCGCAAGGAGGGGCATTTTCGACTGAGACAAGGATCCCCCTCTCCCGACGGATATCGAACACGTCACACGGAAAATCAGGTGGTCGGGAGGATCCCGAAGCGACGCCGACACCACGTTGAAAGCAATCGACATTGGTCCCATCGGTCTGGCACATCGATTGGATGGGTGCATTCTCGGAGACAGTGCTGATAAAAATTCTAAGTATTTCACGGTGGTACCACCTCGGAGGAAGGGAATCGGACTCGGCGCAGCGAGCGAGACGTTTTCCGAAGCCCACCGTAGAGGAGCATCCTGACGATTCCGGGTTGTGTTGATGAATCGAGTCGCGACGGAAAGTTGCTGCAGACGACGAGCACCCAGACTATGCGATAGCAATGTAGCAGCAGCAGCAGCAGCTCACCTTGAGAGGGCAAATGTGCAGCGGAGGAACATTGAGAGTCGCTGAGACGGAGGAGCGTGTAACGCGTTGAAGGCGTGTAGACGTGTGGCCGAGAAGTTCTTCTTCGTTCGAGGATAGAGAGAGTAAAGTGACGTGGAAAACGTTTCGAGAAGCAGATGCATTCGAGAATGCTGGGGAGAAAAGTGGAGCTATCTGAGGAACGAAACAAGAAGTGAACAAACGACGACGCTCCCGCATCGTTCCATATAACGGCAGCGACCGGGGCGGGGGCGAGCAGAAGACAACGGGGCGAACCGAATGGCGAAGCTGTCTGTCTGGCTTGCTTGCCTTCTTGCCTCAGCCTGATAGCGTTGAAGGAGTGCAAGCAACGAGCCACGAAAAATTCGCCCGCGCCGTTGAATAGCCGCCTGGAGCCCGCGGGAGAACAAGGACCTCGCGATGAACGCCGGAGGGGGAACATCGCCTCCGCGAGGCGGATCGGGGCCGCGGTGTGAAAGGTAGCGCGAGGTAGCGGGAGAGGAATGGCAGACACTCATAGAGTCGTTGAGTGAAGAGCAACGAACGCCTCGCCCGAATTCCGTTCGGTGACAGACGGCATCACGACTTTTCGAGGTTTCTAGAATTGGGCCTACAGACGGTAGCAGTCCTCCTGCTCGAAGCGTGACTACCAGGATCCACGCGAGAGACAGAGGAGCACGCGGAGTCCACAAATCCGTACTGTCCGAACTGGAAATTTTTCTCGAAACTCAACATTTTTCGTGTCGTTGTTCAATTTCAAGAATATAGACTCGACCATTGAAGGATAATGACCGAGCCGGTTTCCCTCATGGTTCTCTTCGGAGAAACGAAGATCGGGCTTCATTTCCAGCGGATAATGCTCGCGAGGGCTCCACTGAGCCTTCGTCTCGGACGAAAGTCGGCTGCTTCAAACTCCCGTGTCTGATTTCGCATAAGCTCCCGAGGTGGGGTGGAAGCGCACCAAGGAGGATCGGGCGAGTCAAGGATCGGAGCAGAACAAAAACCGAAGTTGAGGACATTGCTATGATCAAATATTCCGCCGCCGCAAGCAGATTCGAATTTTCGAGCTTTTTTTCAGGACTCGGATTCGAGTTCGTCTCGTCCGGGAGAGCCGAGACAGGGGGCAGAAAGTTTCGTAACTCTATTTGAATAGCAGGTTCAGTTGTTGAAGTCGTTCTTGTCGCCGCAGCTATTGCATAAAAACGATCGGAAGAAAAACGTAGGCGGGGCACGAGCAAAATCGAAATACGATGTGGAACATTGTTTCGTTGAGCTCATTCGTGGCGATCCGATCCGAGGACAATTCGTCTACCTCGCGCTCGCTATATTGACATCCACCGAGAACCCTGTTCGCTAGCCGTTTAGAGAATTCTGCAGGTCGCTCAAATAATGTTGCTGATTTGATTTCTTCAGGCACGTACTGCATGCCCGACGAGGGTGTACCCTTGACGCCAAAAGAGCTTCTTCTCACAAGCGACGAGCTGAAGAGACTCATTGACGTTTTTGTGTCTCTCGGAGTCACGAAGGTGCGTTTAACTGGAGGAGAACCTCTGCTGAGGAAGGATATCGTCGACATTGTCCGGTATCTCCGGAGCAAAGTATCAATCAACAAAATCGGTTTGTATGTATGTCAAGTCGAAAAGCATCTCGACGGGATAGAGGATTCGATCCGGGGGAGTTCGAAGCGAGCTCGAGAGCTGCGAGTCTCCTCCAAGTCTCGTGGCTGAGCAATATCCATGGGGATCAGCGTCCGGTCATCTCGAATGATGCTCGATAAAATGTTTCGAACAAAACGAGCTTTGAGCGCGAGGAAATGGGCGGGGGATACGAACAATTTCAGAGGAAGAGCAAGCTCTTCGCAAGCGATGTATCCGAAGGGAATGTATCACGGTCGGCGAGCGAGCCTTTCTTTCCTTGAGTCCATTTAGGGTCCGGTCTGCGCGACCTGAGAGTATGATTAGTTGGCGGAAACAGAAGCTCTGGCGGGAAGAGCGGCACAAGGCCGATGAAACCGACGCTCGTGACGCTCACCAGTGGTCGGCAAATCATCGTCGATACATTCCAGGCATAACCACGAACGGACTCGTGCTGAGCCGCAATCTGACATCGCTCGTGGCGGCCGGACTCTCGCACGTAAATATCAGTCTCGATTCTCTAATGCCGGAGAAGTTCGAATCCATAACGCGCCGGAGAGGATTCCAAAATGTCCTGAGGGCGATATTTGAAGCTGAGAAAATTGTTCACACCAAGGTCAGTCAGGAGCCTCGATTGTCGTTCAGTGAGGAGAGGCCACGTGGCAGAAGGTGACGAATCATGAAATAGGGAAAAATGGAACGAGGAAGTTCTGGTCGGAGGAAAAAAAACATCGGAACTTTCCAGATCAACTGCGTCGTGATGAGGAATCTGAACGAGAATGAGGTTCCCGCGTTTGTCGAGCTGACGCGCGATCACGTGAGTTTCCTTCGAAATTGAATCTGCTCCACGCAGTCTCGGGGATCCGCTGGGAGATTATGTCGTTCCCTGTCAGCGCATCGGCGAAGATTCGCGCAATAAGAAATTGAATCCTCTACGATTCGGATCTCTATCCATTTCTTGCTCGCGAACGAATAGAAAGTCGACGTAAATTCCTCTCTCTGACTTGATCACTTCGCGGGAGCGAATTCGGCTCAGAATGACTCAGACTCGATCGAAGGGACTTGCCATCGAGTTTCTCGGGAACGAATTTCGCGCGGACTACAGAGACGGGATGACCCTGAGCGAGATACAAGGTTCGCTTTTGCTCTTGCGAGCTCGTTAAGTCCAAGAGCGATGAGCGGACAGAGTAATTGGCAACTAGAAAGTTGAGGGGTGTTCTGACGTAATAATACGCGGAAAGCGCGACGAAGTCGCTCAAATTCGAAGAGAACGTTGCTTAATGACATGTTGCAAGCGTTGCGTTCTGTGGTAGAGCCGTCATCGTTTCCATCGTTTCCGACATCGTCGAAAGTGCTGGAAGTCTCCGCTTGCGAAGCTGTTCGAGAGCTGTGGTGAGCATTGTGCGGAACGAGGACCAGTCAGCGACGGTTACGCTTCATTCGATGCGGCGATTCGGATGCCGGAATGACGGCTACGGACGGCAAGCTCGGATCGTGAGAAGTTCACTCATTCTCGACCAGAATCCGCGAGTCGAACCTTCGGACCCTCCGTTGAAACTCATTCTTTCCTTGTTTGAGCTTGCAGCGAGCAAGACTCATGAAGAGATCGATGATTGACAATCTCAATCGTACCCTATGCACCACGTCAGAATGATGCTTCGAGAGAACAGAATAAATTACCCAGGATAATTCATTTCACTTGGCAGCGGAATACAATATCGGTTGGGCGGGATATTTCGGGAATTATTTCGAATAATTCCGAGGGAGCCAGGAAAGCACGGGAGTATCGATAATAATTCCTAAATGCGAATACCAAACTGCTAGAAAACCGCAGTCTCCTTCAATCTTCCCCGCCTTCGCTCAATCCTTCCGGGATGGGCCTCAGAGGCCTCTGGAGTAGAGCTTGGGCTACATACTTGGGTCGGAGCAAGGCAAGGCCCAAGCGATATACCTACTCCGGCATCTATCGGAATGTGATGGAAACTTTAGAGTTCCCAAGAGAAAAAACCCTCGGTTTTATCCACGGTTTCCGCGTGGTCAGTCACGCTCTCGTCAGCCGGCGTATAATCGTGGAACCCCGCAACGACTGTTCAACGCAAATTCAGCGGCTACCGAAAAGAGTGGTCAGTAGGTTTCCATCAGTCATCGCTCGGTGGTATATCCTGCTGCCCGCCCCTCCTTTGCGGGTCATCGTGTCGCCGAGGGACGAGCGGGAGACGGCCGGACGTCTGTTCCCCAGGCCGCTTTTAAGCGGAATGGTCTGAACTTCAATTGCCGCTCAACTCCACGGCGGCGGCAGGCGTTGTGCGGCAAACGTTAACTCAGACGAGTCCATCAATCTTACCAATGATCTTCCTCGCGGAGCTTGTGGGAGACGTCGTTCTCGTGCTCGCCATGGGTGCTTCGAACGCGAGAGGACCGGCTCCACCTGCTCATCATCGTCGTCAGCCATTGAATATTGGAGATGAGGTCTACATTGGCGAGCTTGAAACAGAACTACGGCTGATCCTCGGGAGACCCTCGGCAGAGAAGCGGCAAAAAACAAGCCGAGAGAGGCGTTTGTCGAACGGGCGGGCCGAACGTGAAAGGCCTGAGTAAGATGAGATATGGGTCGATTTTTACAAAACGCATTTCTCTATCCCTCGGGGCAAGCCACGGAACGCTACGCAACGCGATATGTTGCCAAATATTGGACTTGCCTGCAAGGAGTTTCGCTACGCTTGGCTTGGCGCGCCGTTCGGGACACGGCTCCGTAGTTTACACGGTGCTTCAAACCCGAGTAACGCATAGCTCACTCCCAAGAACAGCGGCCCTCTAGGTTCGGAGCTCCTTCTGGACCGCAAAATTCGCATCCTTCGCGCTCCATCTCGCGAGGTCGACCTGCGACGTTGTGAGTTGGTCAGAGGTCTAGTTGAATTGTTCCTTGAGATTGGCGATTCTCCGAATCCGACACAAGAGGTCTGGAGTCCACGGAATCTGGCTCGATTCCTCCTGGAAAAAAACACTTCCACTACCTCACATATTGTCCGAGAAAATGCCGTGGCCGACGGATGGGATATCCGCGGGGTAAAGCGCTCGGTTAGGGAGCTCGCCCCACTAATTTCCAAGACTCATCCTCTTACGATCCTCCGAGAAGACGCGACGAGGGAGGAAACCCGTCGAGGACGTGGTTATGCGATCGGAGGGGTGGAGAAGAGTCGTAGAGTTCGTAGAATCGCACACTGTAACTTAGGGGTCCACGGAAAATCAGAGGGAGAGCCGAGGCTCCCTGAGAATGGGGGTATCGTACAATTCCAAAAATTCTTAGAGTCGAGAATTCCGGGAAGGAAAAGGGACAGGGGCTCGGTCCAAACCCTAAAAGTGTTCGGGCCGTAGAAACATTCTTCCCCAGTCAAATTACCCATTGAACGATCTTGCAGAATATCGAGCTTCGTTTCATCGAGTACATGCCATTCGACGGGAACCGTTGGAGTTGGGAGCGTCTTGTGCCGCAGAAAGAACTCGAAGAGCGAATAAGGTCTTTTGTTCCGGATGCGATAGCTCTGCCCTTAGAAGCGAATCATACGGCTAAGGTGAGCGGCTCGAGCGAATTGTTCTCACATTGATCCAATCACCAACGGGTCTATCTGCTTTGAATAACAACAGCAACACGAATATTCTACCTGAATCTCGACTCCCATGCATGTTATGGAAACGCAATCAGAGCCGACTCGATTGCCAGTCGACTGGCTGACTGGCCGGCCAGTCGGTCGACCGGTCACACCATGACTACGGCGATCTTGTCTAGCTCTTATTATTTATACATAAGTGAAGGATCCGCTCCAGCGGTTCTCCCGAGCGTCTAGCCGAAGGAGATCTCGGCCGTCTCCGTCCGGACGAAGCTTTTTCTTCGCCTCCACGCACAAAGAGAATCCAATCATGTCGTCGGTCGGATACCGCCGATGACGATCATGAATCCGATCCCGCCGCCCATGACCAACGGAGACGATTATTTTCGGCACACATGGCGAGTTCTCCTTCCGCTCCGGGCGTCCCCTGATTGAAGGGGATCAGATCAGGAGCGGGGATATTCGTCTGCTTTTAGAGGGGCACTGACAAAAACACCGTTTCCGGCGTGGGGACGAAGTGTCTCCTCGACTTCAACCTGTCCAGAGACGCGTTGATAATGGAGTTTTCGGATGCGGAAGTGCCCGTCTATGTCACCAGCCCCCTGGAGGGCGCCCGTACATATATCGAATAGAGCCCCTATACTGTGAGAGTGTAAGTTCATTGGAGATAATCCGTCTATATGTTCTAGCTCTCAATAGGAGGAGCATTACAGGACGCCCGTATATCAGGGAGGATACGGTATCCTTGTTTACCAGACCGGCGAATGGCACTCGCGAGAACCGAATGTGCAGAGGTCCCAAAGGGTTTGTCGCGGGCTCTCTCCATCTGAACAATCCCCTTATCTGACGTACAGACGCGTTCTGCGTCGATCTTATTTAAGCTGACGTTGCGATATACCTGCGGAAATTAGCCTCTGTCCTACCATTCACCTCCGGGATCGTATATCGCTGAGCACTGTTTCTCACTAATGAGCTGGAACGCAATCTGCGCACTCTTGAATTCCGGTCGTCGAATGCGTGACCCGACTAGATGTGACTCCGCGACACGTTTCGGATTCCGGGATATGCGGATATCACGAAACCTATAAACAATCCCGACACGATGGTAATCGAATGCGTGCCGACGCCGGGCATTCCCGTTTCTCCGTTCGCCCCTCGGCCGGATGAAAATGCGCAGTCGGTTGCGTGACTGAAAAAGGCTGCGGGAGCTCCAGGGCATCGGAGAGCATGACTCGCTCCGCGAGTACGTCCTAGTGGTGAGCGCGGGTGGGCTTACGTAGAATCGTACAAATTCTCTCATCAGGCGCGGATCCTCGATCACGGACTAATACGCGGACGCTCTTGCGATTGTTGACGGTCAAGGATTCCTTTCCGGCTCCTCGGCGCAATCCAGTGAGAGCCCCCAGGTAATGTCCATCGGTCGATTGGAGCGAAAATGGGAGCCTTTCATCTTTCTCAAGTTCGCCATCTCTCTGTCTCCCTGTGGCTTCCCAAATGAATCGGCAGAAGAATGCGGGCAGTAGATGGCACCCCGACTGAAGTTATATTTGGTGTATTGTTCAGAGAGACCGAGCGGTGGAATGTGGCGATCAATCGATGTTTCCGTTTTCTCGATCTGAGTCCTGCGGAATGGAGCGCGGAATCTTCGTTCGGCTCTTCCCTCGGCTCAACCGGATCGCTGTGGAGGTCTTCGCCGGAGATCGAAATTTCGTCTCATGTCGAAGGGAGATAGGAATTCGAATTACGACTTTGTCAAAGGAATTACAAGTTTTTGATCGACACCGACTTAGCTGTGAGAGACTGGCCCTCGGAAGGCGGCAGCTCCCTCCTCGAGGAAGTCTAGCGTCCGGGAGCACCATTGAGTAGGTATATCGTCCGGAAGTCTTCTCCGTACGTCCTTGCACTACTCTTCCCTCTTAGGAAACGAGTTCTGATTGAAGAGATACCGTATTCTGGTCATCTCCTCGACATCTTTCTTCCCGACATCCAAGTTACTCGACTCATGCAGGTTTTGAGGGCAACAGCGCGCGGGACGAGTTTGACGAGATGTGAGTCTAGTGAAATGCGAAGTCGGTTGAGGGGAGCGGAAAATTATAATTTAATTTATTTTTCAATGAACGGACAAATACACAAGGGTCATATATCTGCCGTGATAGGGACACCCCTCTTGTCCTCCCCACATTATCTGTGCCTTCTCCCTCATAGACTCTTCGGGATTCCAGCGACAGCTGAGAGGAAAGAAACACGGAAGAGGGTCTCCGGGAAAATTCCGTCCTCAAGCTCCGGGGAGAAGCCGTTTCGAGGTTTTAATTGACGCCAGGAAATCGAAATTCCGCGTGGCGTTCCCAGCGCTGGCAGAATCCCATGTCTCTTCGGAATCAAAATCGAATCTCCAGATCGAGAGCGCTCCCGTCTCGGATGAGAAATATCTGAGATTCTTCCGAGGAAAGCCACAGAGGAGAGAATTCCGAAAATTTCCCGAGGAGCTTCCCCATAGTTCCCATATTGATCAGTTGGCTCCGGATTTGCCAGCGAGTTATCCCACGGAGCAGATCATGGTATGAATCCGTTCTGTTTTGCTAGAGCCTCACGTGGTCGTTCGGTCTCTTCCAGATGTTCACGTCTCCATCTCATCGGGGTCGTTGGGGTTTCATTTCTTCGATGTCGCAAGCTTTCTGCAGTTCCTGTAATCGGCTTCGACTCACGGCCGACGGCTCTCTGCGCTCGTGCCTTTTCTCGTCGCGGAACGACGAGCTGCCCCTTGTCGAAGTGCTGAGAAACTCCCCAGCCTCCGACAGGCAGGACGTCGACGAGTTACTTCGAAGAAAAGTAATTAAGCCATCGTTTCCCTTTCTTCGCTTGTCCGCCAGCCTGCCTGCCTCCCTCCCTCCAACCTCTCCAGCACCCTTGTCTTGCTTCCGCCGACCTGAACGAATCTTTTTCGAGAAAGAACAGGACACTATCGGGAGCACGAAAGATAGTATTATGAACGGGTAAAGATATCGCGATGGGGGTTAATTAAGCCGCTCGGTAGAAATGGAACGCTTTCAGTAGAAGAGCGGAATCCTTCTCGATACAGCGATATTGATCCGCCGCGGAATATGTCGGATGCTCCCGGATACGCGATAGGTGACCCTTGCTCATTCACTTTGTCGGCGGCAACTCTTTGCGGCACACGATGCTCGTCTATGTACCGGGCTGATCAGATAACGTGGGCACGGCGGCTTGACACGCAAGTCAAGAGCCCCGCCGCCCACGCGCGGAGGAACAGCGTACAAGGTCTAATTACATGGTTCTCGAGAGGTTCTAACCAGAAGTTGACAAAGGTTTCTCCGCTGCCTATTCTTGCAACCCTCAGCATCCGCGGAAAACGTCACAGCTACAAAGATTCCCGAACGTAGAGGAGTGAGACTCCTTGCTGAAGTTCCCTTCCACCCATCCCTAATGTGAGGACCGGACTCTTTCCGGGCTCCGAGCCGAGGGATCAGAAGCTTCAGAGCGTACGATCTCGCTCCCCAAGTCCGAACATACACAAGAATCGAACACACTAGAGCTCCCATACTGACTATAATTTACCCCTACTCCCAGATCCGGAACCATCTTCTGAAGAAGCATTTTTCACATGGTGGAATGGAAGTGCGCAGTCTGTCCCGGCAAAAGAATAGACCGATGATCACGATAGGAGGATGACCCCCGTGGCTGCGAAGGACGAATATTCCGGAACGAGATCAAAATCATCAACAACGGCTCGCTGAAATGTGGGAACAATCATCCGTTCATCCGACCGCGCGCTCTCATGAACATTCCCGACCGCCAAAGCGAGATATTCTTCTGGAAGAGGATGGGCTTGGAAGGATTCGAACACCTGAGATTGGAGCATGTGAGGGTCACAGCTCCGTCAGACGCTCCTAATTGCACCCGTGAACTTGACGTCGGTCTCAGATTTCGATAAGGCAGAGCTTGTGATTCATTAGTACACGTTCCCTGCGAAATTTTTCATTCTTTCGACGACAGGTCACTGATGTCGTCGGGGTTCATGCTGTTGTGGCTGTCTTCGTTTCCTTGTTCGTTGCCATCCTTGTAATTTGTCCACTTTGTAAATTAGTTCCTGCTGGTGCACTCGCCAGCCGTACTATCGGAACGAGTTTTGTCGGACGAGGAGTGCGTTGTCGCCGCCGCCACCTGGACTCCTCTCGCAAGAAAGCCAGCTCCTTGTTACTCGCGCGCTATGTTCGGCACGCCTTGTTGTTGCCTTTATTTTTTTTCCGCCTTCATTTCAGCTCGGTCACCTTGCACCAGCTGCCGACTCGGGTGAACTCAAAGAAAATTCGCTCGCATTTGCATGCTGCACTTCCTTTTCGTCTCGGTATCTTCCTAATCTCGACGGGGCTCTGTCCTCGTGACCCGGAGGTTATTGAAGTATGACGAGCAATGTTCAGATCTGGGGAACAACTTTCGGGTAGCTCGGGTATCGGGACGGGAAGCTCTCCCAGAAGGTTTCGAGTTTCCGAATTATGACAGCGAGGGACTTCGGAAGCACCTTCCCTGATGACTGCCATTCGTTCATTCCTACGTCTCCGAAATTGGAAAAGCCTGCTTTCCGCACCGGGGAACGGAAGAAAGTCTAGACAGGTCCTTGTGCACCGCGGACTACGGGTTCAAACAGTCTGACTAACTGGAGGATGCACAATGAATCTGCATAGGGGCATCGACGCACACACACCTGACCGCCTGTGAGGCGCGCAGACTGTGTTCGTCAAGTGTAAGCGTCCATTGAAATTATTCCGAAGTCCCCGGAGAGCCTCCATCGAAGCTCTCGTCGAACGCGGCTTTAATCAGATTACGATAATCAGATACTAGTTCTGCAGCCGGGTCCCGAGTTCTTCATAAGGGCAGCGCTTGCGCCATAATATTCTTGCTGTAGCAAAGTCATCACAGTGCTGTAAATAAAGAACGCAAGTCAAACTCGATCCTCCCCTTTTTATAAGGCTCACTTCCCCGCTCATATGTACCTGTCTCGAGATACCATGTTCTGCACTTGTTCCGTCTGGGCCAGATAACGTTACAGAAACATGTACGTGTACAGGCTCGACCTTCAGGGATTTAGAGAACCATTGAACGCGAGGCCGTGATACATTCTGAAAGCTTACGCATAATTCTTCGGCTCCTCCAAACGAATCTCTTTTGTAGATAGCGGGTGTACGTGAACCGTCGAAGTATCCAACCAGGATATGCACTTATTATCGAGCTCATTCGGTTATGTGTGCTAATGAGGGCTCCCTTTCAGGAGCTCCTTGCGTATATCGCGACGCCGCTTCCGCGGCTTCCCGCTTCCGTGGGAGTCGAGTCGGAACTGAGATTTCACTTTCGTTTCCTATTAAAATGCTAATTAGACAATATCTTCCGTCTCATGGCGATTTCCAGCAGTTTTTCCCCGAGTTCCTCCCGGAAAGTGACTGAATATTCCCGAGAAACGGAGCGGGATAATATTTTACGTGACCGAATTTGAATTCCCGTCTCTCCCGCAACGGCGGCGCCCCTCTTTCTGATGCGGGCCTTAGGACATTTGCTATCATTTCTCCGGAAAAATCTGGCGTCGCAGCGCGGCGACGCTCCTCGTTTGCATATTTCACACTTAAATTTCCAGGAGCGCGTCTCCAACGCTGCAGTCATCTCCCCTCGTGTCACTGAGTCCTACCCCTCGCATGGAGGAGGGGGAGGATCAGTCGTGAAGCAGGGAAACGCTTCGTCTTTGTTCCTCCGCATATTTGTCAACGCTTATACAGATGTACTCCTATCGGAATCCGGTAGAAGCGGTCAGAATCTGACAGCAGGAAATTGGAGTTGTGATTTAGTTGAATCATCCTGTCCATTGACGTTTCTACCATGACGTACAGATCCCGATTCTCCTGCTATCGATGCTATTTTCGAGAGAGATTCTTATCGGGGAAACAGTTACCACACTCAGGCTCGGAGTCTCGGCACGAGGAGAGCCCCGAGCTCGGGAGTCCTTCCATTTCCAGCATGAACGAATGTGTGCATCGTGGAATTGTAAGTTCTCATTCTTCGTCTGGCATTGTAGGGTCCTGATCGGCTCTTCCCGGAGTCTGCTTCTCGTTTCGCGTGCGGAAATATAATTTTATCGCCCATTCGCAACCCCTACGCTGGCCGAGTGGACGCAATGCGGCGCGCCACTCCTGTCGGTGATGATGGTGAGCCAGTCACAGACGCTCACAAACTGTTATACTGACTTCTGCTGTGGCTGTGTCAATTCGAGACAGACCCCTCCCCCAGATCTGCACCTCGGATTCCGAGTTTTTGCCTGGCTCTCGACCGCAAGCAATCCCCTAGAGGACTTCCAAGGAAAAGGTCCAATCGCGGTTTTTACGTCGATAGCTACCCGGAGGTTCAGATCATCCCACACGAAACTTTCCTCTCGACTGCATCCGGGAAACCGCCGATTCAAGCAGGCGGATGTCTCCATGCGCCGATTGGGTCCGTTTCAGAGATTCAGGATGGTCGCCGAAGAATACCTCTTCCGAAAATCGCGCCCTTGAATTCCCTCGAAATCGGAGGTGCTTAGCCTTATTGTAGCACTGTTGTTCGGAAGAGTCTCCCTCATCCAGGTCAGGAGACCGCTGCATTTCGATTTGCAAAAAAACGGCTCACTTTATTCTGACTCAATATTACATTTATATACAAGCGGGTCACCAGGACATCGTAGTATAAACTTTGTACAAAGAAAATCGACACACAGAACGCTGTTTTCTTGTGGATGGTCATCATGGCACAACTTGGTGAAAGTCGCCCGCCGTTCACCCGCCCGCCAGCCCGCCAACCCGCCAACCACTCAGTCAGCCTACCCGCCTGCCCGATGAGGGAACGCGTCTGCTTCTGTAGCTCCCAGGGATACGGGGCGTTCGCCGGCGCTCGCCGAGGAGCGCGGAAATTCCAGAAATCTCGATTCTCTCAAGGTATCCGGGTTCCGGATTCCTGACGCCACCTTGATTGGCTCTGTTGCACTAATCTAAGGATTAGATGGATCGGTACTCTGAACGACGATGAGAGGAGAGATCCGAATGGGAAACTTCAATCGGTGAAACTAATTCACCACGTTTGTCGGCTGTGTACTTTGCGTACCGGCGGCGGTTTTCTTAAACCTGGAATCGGAGGCAGCGCTTGATTATCGATCCTCAGCCTGGCATGTTAGTTCTGAGCGACTCTTCCGTAAGGGCGCGATTATCGACTACAAACTATACTTATACGTCTAGTGCCACAGCGAGGACTAGCCGAGCTCTTTCTTTAATGTGAGACGAGGGAGCATGCAACAAAGCGAGCGTGAGGTTACAGCGAAGCTGGCAAACTTGAGGCGAGCCTCCGGAACCAAATGTGAAAGGAGAGAAAAAGTATCTTTCACTTCTTCTAGGTCCGTTCCCCCCGAGAGACCACAGGCCTGCTGCTCCTACGGTCGCACTGTCGCAACAAAACCACGGGAGGGAAACAGGAGACCATTTCTAGGTGAGAAGGAGAGATGAAGGAGTACCGAGTGCAGCAGACGCGTACGGTGGAGAGAAAAAAGACACGGACGGGGAACTCTTGCCACAGTCTCTCGCTGCAAAGCAAATTCCTCAGCCGCAAGCAATTCGGAAGCAAAGAGCGGAAAGAAAGAAGAAAAACACTCGAGGATCTTCTCGTAGGCTGCCGGTGCAGGTGACCAAATCGGAAACTTCCATGAGCGGTTACCGCAACCAGGAACACATAGAAGATGAGGAGTGCCAGGACCCCATTTTGGTCCCGGATGGACCCTCGACCCAGTGTTCGATTAGTCATCTCTGATTCCTCTTGTTTTCCCTTACGACAACATGCGCATGCACGTACGAGTACATTATCGTAGGGTAGCATTGGAAGCTGTTATTCTCCATGCTGAGATCAGCAAGGACAAGACAATGACCTGCTGGTAGATGATCTAACTGCGGCGGGCTGATTGACTGGGTTTGGTGAGCTGAATCGAAGAAATGAAGGAACGACTTTCGAACAGAAGGATCGATCGATCGATTGATTGACGTCGGCGAGCCCAGAAGTCACTGCCAGCCGCCTCCACCGTGGCCGCCGCCGCCACCGCCACCGTGGCCTCCGTCAATGGCCTTGACCTGGACGGGAATCGCCTTGAAGACTTTCTTTACTTGCGGCTGGTTTTTGAACTGGTTTCTGTGCACCTGCACCGGCACATCCATAAGCATAGGGAAGCCCCCACCGAAACCACCTGCCGGAGCGTCAAAGATCAGTTAGTGGCTTTAGTGGAAATTTTTAAGCTCCTCTTCGGGAACAATGACTAACCATGCTCATCTTTCCTTTCCGTCCAATTGATTGTCTCTAGTTTAAATTATTGCGCCATACATTCGGCGAACTCCTTATCTAACTTCACAAAGGCTGTTCGTCTGTGTGACTCCATAATTTAAGCATGGTATACGGACTGGGAAAAGGGCTCTTCTTCCCCGAGTCTGCCTTATGATTGAATTCTTCGCCGCTTGAATAAATCGGCGGAAAAATATAGGGTACTTCTTTTGGAAAATGGTTGCGATCATCAAAATATATCCAATGAGAAAATTACCTCCGAAACCACCACCGCTCATCCATCCTCCGCCCATTTTCCAGCCTCCGCCGCCGCCTCCTCCGCCACCGGAGGGCCAGCCACCACTCCTGCCTCCTCCGGACTGCCAGCCACCTCCTCCTCCTCCGGACTGCCAGCCACCTCCTCCTCCTCCGGACTGCCATCCACCACCTCCTCCTCCAGACTGCCATCCTCCGCCGCCTCCACCTCCACCGAATCCACCCATTTTCCATCCTCCTCCACCACCACCGCCGCCGCCGAAGTTCCAGCCTCCGCCCCCATGTCCGCCACCGCCTCCTGCGAGCTCGATGACTTTGAATTTCTGGCCCCCGCCTCCTCCTCCGTGGCCTCCACCGAATCCACCTGCGATGAATTTGAGATGGTTAGCATGATAATTTTCATAACAGTTTTCATTCATGCGAGCAAAGCTAGGTCATGACTCATGACATGACTCAAGAGGAAGATCCTGATGATGATTATCGTGATTCGAAGCTTATTCGACTCCCTCCGCCGAGTATTCCCAACGCTGTTCCTGACACTCATACACGACTATTGACGCTCGAGTCGCTTCCGTCCTCCCTGAACCGTCTCAGAGAGAAGACAAAAGAGCCCCGAAACTTCCAGAGTGCGGATGGTTCTTTTTTCATCTCGTGCATCAAGATCCACAACGAGCTCATTCAAAGCGTTTCGTAAACGCAGCGTTTCCCAATTCCGGCCTTTGTCTGTGACTCAATTCCGACGGAAGAATGTGACTCGCGACTGAAGCCACTGACGGAATTACGGACGTATGTACGATGAAGGCGTCGTGAGTCCCTTAACACTAAGTTCCTTTCTTCTCACGTTGCCGACCGCCGACAAGGACCTCACCGCGCTCACTTATGTCACCTGCTCCAGCCACAGCATTGGAGCGGCTCTGAGCCACTCGTGGGCAACAAGTTGCGGTCAAATGACCACGCGTGAATCCCGCCCCGACAAATGTCTACTTGGAGCCCTTGATCGCTGTCGCGCACGCGACACTTTCCTCGTTGAGGAGACTCACTTCCCACAAGCATTTCACTCGGTCTGTCAGATCTTTCCGTCAAGCGGACCGTATCATTCGGTGGTGTATTCCTTCAGCGGTCGCTCAGTCATCCACTGTAGGGGACGCCAAGCGATAATGACTCTCGGAAATAATATACATCGCATATCGTTGACTCGGTGCCGCTACTTAAGCTGCCGGCCGATTCTCTCAGCTCCGTAAGCCACACAACGAAGAAAAAAACGTTTACGTCAGGGAGTCGTGCCGACGGGCGTATTCACGTCTCATCCTTGAACTTTGCGGAGGAGCTCCTCGATGGAGGTCGGTCAAGAGTTACACACCAGAGGACGCTCTGAGGACCCAGAATACGCTCTTTGCTCGAAAAGAATCGGAGATTCTAAAACCAGCTCGCTGAATGAGTTCGACAGAAAATATCCGAAGGCGAGGACCCTTGAGAGAATATTCATATCAAAGCCTCAAGAATGGAGCATGGAACAGATGATTGCATCGATGAGAGGCAGAGAAGTGAAATTGCTGATACGGCCATGATGACCCACATCGTAAACAGCACAGATTGAGTTTCAGTGATTTCCGATGCTCGGCAAATAATCAGAGACGACGTCAGAATCTCGGATCTTCTTAGGCTGCGCGAAAAGACATTTGGGCCTGCCATCAAATATTGATCTGATTTAGTTCAGTGACTAAACGAGAACCCTCGAAACGCGGCAGCAGAAGCTCGCAAACATCGAATGAGATTGCTTTTCATGAGAACAGGAAAAACAGGGATTCCGACAAAGGCGAAGACTTGCAAACTGAACGCGAACTTCGGTGAGCACCCGAGCGCCGAATTCCCCCTCCAAAAGGATACGATCGACTGATTCCATCGGAGAAGCTCGCGAAAACTCGACCCCGGAAATTAGTGTGATGGAGCTCTGGATCTGTGATGGTTGACTGCTCCCAACACGGAATCGGCAATTCGACCCTCAAGACGCTAACAACAGGTCTCGAATGCGCAGCTCTAGATTCATCCGAAGGGGCTTGACTCTGAGCTGAAAGGGTCGATAATCCCGGAAAAGGTTGGGGTGGTCATCAGGTGTCGGACGATAGCCAGCGGATCAACAAGTGCCAAGCATAGCCAGGACAAGACCGCTCGCTGAAATATATTCCATTAGTCTCGAGAACTCACCGCCTCCTCCGCCTCCTCCCCCGCCTCCGAAGCTGTTAGGGATTCGGATGTGCTCGAACTTGATCGGGACGACTGAGGTGTCGACATGGGCGATGAATTTTTTGATTGTCGTTAGCGTTGCTGGACCGACTTGCTCCGTGACGGGTTTGAGAAGTAGACCTTCTTTGACGTCCCCTCCGCCGCCACCATCTGGAAATTCAATTCACTTAAGTGACTCCGCTTACCGCCGCCTCGTATCCCCATCGGGATGCTGCCATGCAGAATTTGAGCTCCTCGATTCCGTTGTGCTATCTAACCCGAATTTCCATATCGAGTTCCGTCTGCGTCGACCCCTCTGACGCGGAGTACACGTTCGAATTTCGATCGAAAAAGAAACCCCCATTACAGAAAACTCGTCATGCTGATAACGAATGAGCCTTCAGGATCGATTTCCACAGTAGAATGTCACGAAACAGAAATCACCATCCGGAGGATCTCACGGATACTTCACCAGCGTTGGCCTGGGCCGCTGCGTAGCCGCGAGAACCTCTAAGCTAGTTGAATGCGGCTCCAGCTCCCGAAGCTTTTTGAGCACAGCTTTCCCTTTGTTCCGAAGCGGCGGGCTTATCTGAGTGGTGCAAACGAACTTGTCCGTGAGATAAATAACGGAAAACAAAACTAACAGGCTGCGACCACAACCGCCGTCCCACCGTAAGCGCTTGGCAAAGGCTGTAGAAATGCCCTGACTGAGGGCTAAAAACCGCTCTCTTCTACTCCATCTCCGACCGCGGTCGGTGGGCTACCTATCGGCGACGTTTTTGTCAATGTGGACTGTGGCCTCTAATGTGCGTCTGATTGAGCGGGTGCGGCGACCGAATGAAGCCGACGCACATGCCTGAGACGACTGTGAGATCAGCAGCCCCGGCGGCAGGGGGTGAATGGCGAGGTGGTTGTGAGGAAATGGTGTCCGCCGACTACAGACCTCTCGTTTCACTGCGAAGATGCTAATGAGCTCGCAGTCAATTCCGCTCACCGAAAGTGATCGAAGCAAGCTACTACACTCTCAATCGGTCAGGCGATCAACCAAAGCAAATCAACCACTGGACATTGTTGCTACGACCGAACGACGTCGGCTCCGCCGTCGGGATCTCCGATCCGGGAAAAGGTTATTGAATGAATAAATTCAATGGACAATGAATAAACCAGCTGGATATCAATGTGCTTGAGTATTCAGCTGGCATCTCAGTCAGCTACGAACTCGCAACGCGGACCAGGATGAGCGTCGAACTTGGAATTCGTCTCTCAGTATGCAAAGCGCCAACCGTGCAGAGTTTGGAGACGAGTTCGAGATTTTCACAAACGTGATGTAGGAGGGATCTCGATGAGCGAGCTCCTCGTCAACTCTAACCGTCCCGATGTTCTCGACATCCGACGATTGCGAACACTTGACGTTCATTCCCTCCGTCCGCCATTCATTATGAATGCGGAGCCCGCGGTCACGATTTTCCGAGACCCGTGTTCTTGCGATTCGTTCGAGGGGCCTATCGGCCTTTGAGAGCCGATCGAAGCTTCGGATGTTTTCCTCCATTCAGTATGATGGTCAGGCCTGGGAACGCAGTGACTGGCTCCCAAGCGACAGGTGGAAAACGATCCGATTCTAAAACCAAAACTAAGTTGAGATAAACACGAATTTCCGACAAAGAAGTTTGGAAGTAGAACGACGGTCGCGGCACGGGTTTGAACGGGATAAGGCAGGCTCGCCGACGCTACGAGAAAGGTAGTGCTCAGTGAAGGCAAAAGCTGTCAGGGAAAACAGGCGGCATTAGGGGTGAAATATCGCCGAGGGGACGAAAATCATTCAGTCTGCGTGATATAGTGCCCAGGGAGGAATTAGACTTAGAGAAAAAAGTGGTTCCCCGTGAGTACTTGCCCGTGCCCTCGTCTTAGAAATAGGATTGATGTCGGTAGCTCGGAAGGACTCCAGCGCGGAAAAGGAGAGTGCGGAGGCGAGAGGAGAGGATAGTGCTTTGAAAACAATGCAAATTCCTCAGGAGAACTCGTTGCATAATTCATATCCGGTGGGTCGTCCTTGCGAGCAACGGAGCAAAGGTCTCGCCGGACGAACGAATGTGCGCTTGGTAAATACACACATGCAGAGACCTTGAATTATCTCCCGTACGCATCACCCGAAATGTTGGATCAACTCAATCTAATGCTAGGTGTCGGCTGTGTAGTTCCTCTCGTGTCCCGCCTCGTTTATTACTCGCAAACCTCTCGGATCCCTCCCGAATCCTACTTTCGAAATCCTAATTAACTACTGGATTGCTTGATTATTATACTCCGTGCGGATGAGACTTAAATGAATGAAGGATTAAGACCAGCTAAAGTACATACATCCTCCTCCACCGTGTCCGGACCAGCCTTGGTTCCCAGCGTGCGCCACGGCGATGAACGACAGCACCATGGCTGCTGTTGTCTGAAAGTCACGACATTTGTTAAGATATTGAGATGAAGCGCAACAATCGCTTCCTTGTCGAAAATGATGACTCTTTGAACAGAGACGTTATTTCAGGGAAGCCTGGCACGGTAATTTCGGGTTTGAACTCGGGCGGTCCATCGAGTGTTTGTCGTAACCCCATACAAAGCTCAAGTTCAACAGACGGTGTCAAAGACCACAGCGGCTATTTACAGTCGCGTAATCGCAGTCAACCGTATCCGACATCTGCGTCTAGGCTCCGTGATGTTCGTCCATGGGAAAATTCACGGAGTCTAGAGCGGATCTTCTATTCTCTTCTTCCTCTACCACATAATATTTTCAAGGATTTCCTGATGTTGTTTCCCATTTTTCAAGAGATTTGTGGCTTTCCCAACCTTCGACAAAAGGTCTACAGATCTCGCACGAATTCTCGAATCCAGATTTTGCGCTCAAAAGTCTGCAAGATCTGCAATTCGGGAGTCCTATTTGACTAGGTTCGCGATTTTTCGAGCATTTTGAAAGCATCGAATGCTACCCGCTGATCGAGATGCGCTCTTCGTGCGGCCTGAAGAGAATTCTAGACAGATCTCCGTGCCCGACCGAACTCCACACGTCCTCACTCGCGAGAGCGTTAGATTTCTTTGATTCGATCCTCTCGATCGCGCCGACTTGGGGTGCTCGGAGCCCGAGCGTACCTTATCCATTTCACCGAGCGCTAGGCACTTCACCGACGAACACGAAACACGAACTACGACGAACGAATCTCACGGTACGACGAACATCAACGAAACGTCAACACACGGGACGTGGACTCCTGACTGGAGCCCGACACTGCGTCACGTTTTTTTATAAGCAGCACAGGGATGCGCGGGAGGAAAGTTGCGCATGCGCTGTCAAGTTGTGTCTTCTTTCGCGGCGCGAACACAGGGTTCTCACCACCACCACAGCCTTCGCCACCGGCTCCCTGGCTTGGGTTTGCCGGTGGCCGGGGAGCTGACCGACTGACTGACTGACTGTGTGGTAGGCAGACTGGCTGGCTGGCCATCTGACTGACCCCTTGACAGACCTTTGACATCGACAGCGTACATCTTGGTGTATTGGATGGGCAGCATCAGCAACAACAACGATGACGCTAACGGGAAACCGTTGAGCAGCTCGCTCGTGCCGATCAGCGAAAGTTTTGTGCCCGCTGGCCCTTCAATGCCGTTTGGAAGTAAACGACTCTCGACAGGTCGCTCATCATTGAATGGTGCCGATGATGCCGTCGATGTTTTCGCGGCCGGCGAACATGATAACGAAGAAGATGATGATTTGGTCAATTAGGATCTTTCATAATGACGATTAACATTGATGCGATAAGAGACTCGCAACAGTACCCCCACGAGATGCTATCTGTCAGTCAGATGAGCCGCCTCTCGGAAACATGCCGAACAAACCTAATCTCCCCATCCGCACCCCTATCATCGAAATCGGGGGCTCAGAGAAAAATGAGAGAGAAAAAGAGAAGAAACGCTCTCGAGTACAGAACTCGTAAAGTCGGTTTGAGGTTCAGCATCATCCCCCGTCCCCATACAGTGACTCGCGGGACATCGGTATTCCCGCCGTGGAGTACGAATCACTGCCCCAGAAAAATCGGACGCGGGTGGAATTCCCCATTGATCTTCGGGAAACACTGACACGATGGGAATCGATGCGCGTGATACCCAGCGTCTTAAGGTCGACCGAATCGAATGATGATCCGGCTCGGACTTGTTCTCAACTTCGAACTACAATATCCGCTGATCACGCTTCGGACGCTTCGATAGGATTCCGATCCATTTTTGAAGGGCAGTAGCAACTGATCCGCAGGGAGATGTCGGAAGACTTTTCATAAATGGAAGCTCAAATGTAAATTTTGTAACAGAGGTTAAAGTGTCATGACTGCTCACGGTAGATTCCCGACAGCTTTCCGAGAAGTATTACGCTGTCAGTTCCGTCAGATGAGATGAGATTCGTGAATAGCTCAGCGTCAGCGTGCGGGAAGTACCTACTTTGAGTCACCAAGAGATGAGCAATCAATTCCGTCCGGGATCTCGCGGTGATTTTGAAATAAATGATGCGTGTCAGATGAATTCGTTACCGAATCAAAAGGGCTGAAGAAGTGGATTCGGCTGCCTGTAACAAAGGAGAGAATCTAAATCAATACGTTTCCATGTCAAATCCCAAAGCTCGGGGGCTTCGGGAGCTCCTCGACTTCGGCGTCGCAATCGGATTCAAGAGTTCTTGCTGCGCGTATATTCCGAGCGACAGTATGGTGCGTCATTAATAATCCGTGACATTCTGCCGTTCGGCGGATCAAAAAGATGATTTCCTTTCGGGGGACCGCCACAAATTCGCTCAACCACGCAACGATGACCGAAGCTTTAGGCCTACGCAGGACGGTCTGACCGAGCAGCGATCGTTCGCTGAATTTCCCAAAACATCACCGGAAACTCCAGGTGGTAACGCGGAAATACCTCCAACCCCAAGGAGGATCCCTGACTCTCCGGTCGACTACCGTATCTGATGCGATCAGATAGGAGAGAGGTATCCTCTCGAGTCTTTGAAACCGATTCGTTTGAACCGTCCCGGGCGTTTCGGAATACTTCCAGGCTCCGATTCACGCCGATCTCGGGACGCCGCCCAAGCACGGGTCTCTGGGACCAGTGGCCGGACAACCTGCGCCATATTCTCTCTCCGGGTCATTTGATGATGAAAAGCGGTCGCGAGTGACTGACCGGCTGACAGGCTCGATAGTCTATCTTGCGCTCGTTGTTTGAGATCTACAAGCCAGACGGTGACGCGCTAATCGAGGATCAAGGCAGGCTTGGATATAAACACAGATTTCCGTCAAAAACAATACCACAGTGCTCCGTATTTTGCGTTTGGCCATTTTCTATGAGAAAGAGGTCTTCAAGAGTTTCAACAGCAGCCGCGTATTCCCATGAGCAGTGCAATTATGATACCGAAACCTTCATCTTCGTCCGCGGACTTGTCATTCCATCTTGTTCTCACACACTTATACGCGATGCAGATGACCGATTCGCCGTTTTATTCCCCTGAAACAGTCCTCCGAAGCTCTCAACAATTTTCTATTCCGGATTGCTGCTATACTAGATCACTCGTAAGGGTTATCCCTCCATGACCTGCCCAGGTTATCCCCGAACTTGACCGATTATACTCCGAATTCGCTTTTGCGCGCAGTTATCTATCAATCCCACCGACAGAGGGGCGCGCGAGACTCACTCAGTCGAACCCCTTGATGGTCGTTCTTTTGACAAGCGTTATGAAACTCTAGTTCAAGAGCCGAATGGGAACCCGTGAGTGGTGGGAAGTGGTCACGTACAGAAACCGTAATGGATAGATAGTCTCCACTGCTGAAAGCAGAACCGCTGCAGCTCTTAAGACGATAGGATCGCTCCCGTTCCACCGTCACGACTCCTAGAAGTCAAGCGTTTTCTGACGGGATCAAAGAAACCAGATGATAGAAAGTATCAGGCATTGGAAGGGCTCATGTTCGGCAGAATCGTTTCACAATACCCGCGCTCGTGATATTCACGTCGTCGGGGCTTCAGCTCCTAAGAATTCTGAGAATTTCGCTATTTCCGAATCGCCGGCGCCGTATTGAAACAGGAGATCATAATCGGACTGATGGCCCCGAAACCCTCGGGCAGAGAATGGTGCCCATCGTCACATGAGAAAAAAATTTCAGCATCAACTCAGGACACTACAAATACACAAGAAACAGTTTGGTAGCACGAGTTACGTTACTCGAATTCTCCGGACAATTGAAACTCTAAGGAAAAGGAGGAATTCAGGCGGACGATATCCAAGTCTGCATTCGCCGCGCATCCATTCATCTACTCATCTATTCGCCATTCATGTGTTCATTCATTTGCTTCCAGACCATTGTCCGATTCATTGTTCGTTGAAAAGAGTCTGTCCCTTGACGCACGGCTTCCGACGAACGTAATACGACCACTGTCCGCTGATTTAAATCGGCGCTGACTATGGAAAAGGATTGTTGTTGTCGTCGTCATTATTATCGCTGCAGTGAGCGGTGACAGTGTGAAAACTCAGACACAGTTCACTCGCGCATCCGCTCTAATCCGCGTCGCCTAATTCGACTACTAATCCGCTGTTTGAGTGAGTGTTGCCTCAATCGCGCGATTCGAAAAAGCCCGTCCGCTCGTCTGATTTAATCTTCCGAGCTACACCGGAGGACAGCAGTCGGTCCACTAGAACGACGACGGCCACGACGCTGCTCATGGGTTTGTACGGACGAGCACCTCGTTGGTCGAACCGTCGTCGTCGGTCACCGCTGACCCCCGTTGCCTCGGAAGATGCCGACAGTGATCGGTGTTTCCGACATATCGGACGGCATGGATCGCATTCCCCGAAACCTCATGGTACCCGATAGCAGCTTCGCGAAAAGAGCATTTCCAATATTCATGCATGCATCGACAAATCACCCGAGCCAGCTTATCTAAGAGCAGTCGAAAACAATAAAACACGCCGTCATAATCCACCAGAACGACGACGGCATGGTCGATTGTTGATGAAGGTCGCGCTGGCTAGAGACTCCTGACGAACAATCGGACGATATCGGAACGTGTAGAAACGGGTTCTCCCGCAAGTATCGTGACCACTTTCTCCACGGTTGCGTAGCCTTCAGCCTTGGATTCTTGAAAATATTCTGAGCTCATCTCTTCGAATTACGTCTGGTCTACTTGCAATGGACCGAGCTAATCACGCTTATGGGTCCGATTCTATCAAATCGATGCCCATTCGCCAGCGAATGAAACTTATCGAGTTTTTTGTGTTTTATTCCCGTCGTAATCGCTGGTTCTTTGTGATCATCTGGGAAGGTATCGATCTGATGATACAGATTGCTCACGCGCCACTATCCGGGCTCATCGACGGCTAGGGGAGCGCGGAAAGAAAATTAATCGGATGATCGTGTAGCACGAAGCAATCAGACCAATCGGGTACGATCTGTCAGCTATCGAGGGACGAATGAATTATTGAAAAGTCAAGGAAACCCGTCAGAGTCAGAAACGACGGAGTAGGAAAAGAATGCAATCGACTCGAGGAGCACCACCGAATCCTTGCGTGTGGCGAGAAAAATCGCCAGAAAATCCAAGAAACTGGCATTTCCAGCGGGATTAGGGCGGAAGACTGAGTAGAGGAAGGGAAGAGAAAAAAACTACGCTCCCGACATCTGAATGGCCGGTAACTCTTTTAACGCGTACAGTTAATCATGGTGACGGTTAGCGGAGCTGCGAAAAGCAGTGGTGAATTATCTCCATGGTACGCTCTCGGCAGGAACATATTATTTACCAAGCGAGAATCCGAAAGAGTAGATGTTGCTCTTTCTGATGTACGAGCAGGTGGTTCCAGCGGAACGAGCGCACGTTCCGAACATTTCACTCGACCGACTCGTAGTAGGTACAAAGCGGCCACGCTTCAGATCTCTACTGTAAAGCGTTCAAAAGCACGGAGCCTGAACTCGCTCTAAACTCTTCAGTTTCGAGCTCCCGAGTCGACGCAGTCCGGTCCAGGAACAGCCCGTATTTCCCCAAGTTTCGCTACTTGCTTGATGATTCTCGACGGTCTGTCACAATGGAAGTAACCAATCGAGACAACGAATTTATCCGCTCGAGATGACCGCGAGCTCCGAGGGATGATCGAATACCGACTTATACGCACAGCAACCCGGTTATTTTCATCGAGGCTTCGTTGCGGACTTGCGCTGAGGGAATACAACTACAAATCTGACGATTGCCGGTGAGAAACGAAAACTTCCACGACGATGCAATGCCCCAGTGTTTACTCGGTGAATGAGAGCGATGGAAACGGTAAGAAAAATATGTCGGCCGAAAAAGTTATGTAAATATAGAGAAAGATCAAGGACTCTCGGGCGATACAATTCCCAAGAAGACCGAGGGGGTTTGGAGACGACTTACTCCCGACGATGACGTCGACAACAACGACCGCCAGACTATCTATCAGGCGTTCGGCCCCCGAGTCAAGGTTCCCTGGGCAGCCGCGGAAGCG